AAAATACAATGCAATCTATTCTATTTATAAAAGAAATACTAACCAACTATCTAACAAACTAACAAGATAACAAATTAAGAAAGTATCTAGAATGAGCTAGAATCTCTAAGAAAAAACTGGAGCTGCTGGGGTGCTGGAGAACGTGTGATGAAGAACAGAAGAAGAATCTGGAAGATGATGTTGTTGAACTGGAGAGAAGCTTTAACTGGAGAGGCTGGGAACGTCTGGTGAACTGGAGCTTTGTTAACTGAAGAACAAGCTGTTGAACTGAGTTGCTGGTTTGCTGGTGAAGGCTGGTTAATATTCCAACACTCTAATAAGCTCTCTATTCTAACTCTTTATTTTATTTTTCATTGAATATTTATTGATTTTTCATAATAATTTAATGTGTTAATGTCAAGCCAATTCAAATGTGATTTGAATAATTTGAATTGTAGAGTATTAAAATGTGTACATAAAAAATAGTTCACAAGAGTTTACATAAAATGATGTGAATGGAAAATATAGAATGAAAAAATTGATGTGTTTTAAACTGACAAATGGTAAAGTATCGTGTGACACTACGTAATCCATTATATAACTTTTATATACATGTAGTAAGATCCATCTACATTTTATTAAATGCAATAATTATTAATTAAAATAGAAAATGAATTTGACTCTCTATTTTAAAAAGTTAAAATGGATAGTTCGATTTAACTTATTTTTAAATATCGACTCTTTAAAATAACATTTTGTATTTAAATAGTCTATTGGGGATACTCTTGACACTCAAAATTTAGAGATCCAAACTCACTCTATATTCTTAACGTAAAATGATTACATTTAGCCCCCGTTTGGCACCCATTTTTTCCTCATTCTCATTCTCATTCTTTTTCTCTTTCTTCATTTTAACCACAGATTCTATCAATAAAATAATATCACACATAAACCTAAAAATTTTCCTTACTTTTTAACCACACATTCTTCCATCTGTCACTATTCAAAAATATATATTTTCTACTAAAATGGGTGTCAAACAACCCCTTAATAGGTCACGGATTTCAATAGTCTATTTCTTAAATTGTTTAAACCACATTTCAATCGATTGCCCACTAGCATATAAAAATTTATGTTATACTAAAATATAAGGAGAAATCAATAAATATTTTTTTAAAAAAAAATAAATAATCAAAATGGATAATATTGTTGGAGCGTATAAAAAAAATCAACTCTCCAAATTTAAAGCCACCACTTAGGCTTTATTAAAAATATATTTTGGAATAATAATTTTTTGGAGAATACGTGATTAAAAAATAAAAAAATATTATAGATTTACGTATAATATTATTTTATTAGATAATCTATGGTTAAAAATAAGAAGGAAAAATATATAATTTCTTTTTCAAAAATGGAATCCAAACAAAAGCAGATATGTTCTCTATAATGCACAATATACTCTTCGTAAATAAATAGTCTTTTCGAGATACTTTTGGAGAGCCAATTTCACTCTCCATTCTTAACGAGCAATGATTACATTTAATGAGTTACATATTTCAATATTCTACTACTTAACATATCCAAATTATGTTGAGCATTTGTTTGTCTCCATTTTAAACAATTTTTTTTTATTCTCACGCTCATTTTAAACCACACATTCACGCGATAAAATATTTTTTTCGTAAATCCAAAATCTTTTCTTACGTTTTAACCATAAATTCTCCAAAAAATTTGTTATTCAAAATATCATTTCTTCCTCAACAATGGCTATCAAACATAGTCTTGAAGTGTTTGATATTGACATGTAAAAAATTATGTTAAATAAAATATGAGAATAAATCAATAAATGTTTTTTAATAAAATCAAAATGAAGTGTCAAAATAGAGATTATTGCTGGAGTACGTAAAATTTTTGACTCTCTAAATTTAATGATGTTTTCTATAATGCATAAGACGATCTTTGTAAATATATAACATCTTAGAAGCTCTCCATTTTTAAAGTGTAAATTTTACAATTTAGAGAATATCTATAAATTTAGGGATTAAAAATTTTCAAGTACCTCAACATGTTGTTTATATTTAACACTCAATTTCACAATTAAAAATAAACATTTTTTTTTTCGCTGGTTTCTCTCCAAATTATTATATTACTTTTCATCGTTGAAAGTTAAAATACTCTGAACGTATTTAATTATAGTGAGCTGGTTTTTCTCTCCAAATTTAGAGAGTTAAACCCACTCTCTAAATTAATGTATTTAATTAAGGGTTGTCTATTTAAATTACGGAGCATTTTATATTTAAAAAGTCCTGTGGATATGATCTAATGTTTTGACTTAAAATTTGTAGTGAATTTAATGTACGCCAAAGAGGGACTTGTTTTTCATATAAGTCCACCTCCAATGAATTAAAACAAGTATGCAGTCTATGTTCAATACATTTTATTTATAGCTCGTTGGGATGGATTTTAATCCAATTAAAATTAAAAATATAGCCTTTATTGGGTCTCACTCGTCTAATAAAAGTCAACAATAACGGCTAATTTTTCAATTTTAATCTGATTTTAATATCTACCAAACAAACTCTTAAAATTCATTATTAATCATTACATATTCCATAAAGAAAAATTAAAAAAGTTTACATCAAACATGCCATATATATGGAAATGATTTCCTAAACGCATGTCTACCAATTGATTAGTGTATCATTTATGGGGTGTTTGGGAGAGATTCTCAAATTCTACAGTAAATCAATTCTCATTTTTAACCACACATTCTTCGATAAAATAATATTTTTCATCACATCAATAATTTTTTCTTCTTTTTCAACTACACATTTTCCATCGTATCACTATTCAAAAATCAATTCTTCCCCAAAAAATTCATCTCAAACAAGCTCTTAATTCTAGCTTATCATTAACTTATTCGTCAATTATTTTGACGTGTCCATGTAATAGGTGTTTAGTAGATATTTTTATATATCATAGAATAATAATTCATAATTCTCAACAACTTACGATTGAACTCTACGTTTCAACATACCTTTTCTTATCAGGAACCATTACTATATCTACTTGTCGCATGATTGCAACCCACATACAAGATAATAGAGTTAACGTAAATTATTCTCATCAATTGTGTTAGACGTTCAAATACAATAAGAGTAATGTTATTCAATACAAAAGATGGTTGATTAAGGTTGAGAAGCTAACATGTTGATTGCTGAATAGTATTGCTTGATGGATTGACAGTGTTAGTGTTGTGTCAACAGTAATGTCGATGCATGATGTTAATATGTTGCGTCAACAATAATGTTAATGCTTCTCAACTTAACATGAGAACACGTTGATTGATGAATAATATTGCTTGATAGATGGACAATGTTATGTTGTGTCAACAGTAACGTTGACGTGTGATGTCAATATGGTGGAATTTTGATGCTAAGGGAGGCTACTGAACTCTCATAGAGGAACTTGATCCGATTCATATGTGGATCAACAATCAAACCACTGTAGCACATAACTGAAATAGGCCTCTTGACGATTGGATTTTCAAGCGCAATTCTCATGCTAATGCATTATTCATCTCCTTTTCTACGAAATATATTTAAATAGATCCATCATCCATACGTCCATGAGCCAAATCAAATGTTGGCTCTTCAAATAATATGTGAACCGTCAACTTTCGTTTTTTCATTCAACCCTTACGAACCACGATACAAGGAGAGACACCAAAATATATGATTGTATGAGAATATCCAAGGGCTTGAAACCTCACTTTGCACCGAATCACGAATTGACAAATGGATCCCAAACTTTGAGGCAAAACCCGATCAAATAAGAAAGAAAGTAAAGAGACAATTGATAAGTTCAATACACATACAACACCATACATTTAATGCAACTTGAAGCTACATTCGACAATAAGACACATCCATTGATGTCCATCAATTCCGTAGCTTCCAACTAATCGACTAAAAACAACAGCTATCCCAGAGATCTACAATTACAGCGAAATGCAAAATTAACTTGCTATATTTGAAAAATTGGAGACTAATATGCTAATTGAACAATAGGTCGAGGACCATCAATTCAAAATTTCCACAAAATGTTCTCCTAAACACATTTTTCATTTTGCAGGCGGATTAATTTCGACATTCGAAAATATCCCATTTAAATAGTGGAAATTGCTATATTTGAAAAATTGGAGACTAATATGCTAATTGAACAATAGGTCGAGGACCATCAATTCAAAATTTCCACAAAATGTTCTCCTAAACACATTTTTCATTTTGCAGGCGGATTAATTTCGACATTCGAAAATATCCCATTTAAATAGTGGAAATTGCTATATTTGAAAAATTGGAGACTAATATGCTAATTGAACAATAGGTCGAGGACCATCAATTCAAAATTTCCACAAAATGTTCTCCTAAACACATTTTTCATTTTGCAGGCGGATTAATTTCGACATTCGAAAATATCCCATTTAAATAGTGGAAATTGCTATATTTGAAAAATTGGAGACTAATATGCTAATTGAACAATAGGTCGAGGACCATCAATTCAAAATTTCCACAAAATGTTCTCCTAAACACATTTTTCATTTTGCAGGCGGATTAATTTCGACATTCGAAAATATCCCATTTAAATAGTGGAAATTGCTATATTTGAAAAATTGGAGACTAATATGCTAATTGAACAATAGGTCGAGGACCATCAATTCAAAATTTCCACAAAATGTTCTCCTAAACACATTTTTCATTTTGCAGGCGGATTAATTTCGACATTCGAAAATATCCCATTTAAATAGTGGAAATTGCTATATTTGAAAAATTGGAGACTAATATGCTAATTGAACAATAGGTCGAGGACCATCAATTCAAAATTTCCACAAAATGTTCTCCTAAACACATTTTTCATTTTGCAGGCGGATTAATTTCGACATTCGAAAATATCCCATTTAAATAGTGTCCACTTCACCGTACATTTCACTTCGCCTTTTTCCTACCCCCGCGTGAAGGAAAATGTCCTCAGCGGGAGTCGCCGCCGCCGACGGCGGTTCACAGATATACTTCTGCCACGAATGCGAGCGCACGGTCAGCATCACCCCCTCCCTCACTGGCGATCTACTTTGCCCCTCATGCCTCTCCGGCTTCGTCGAAGAATACGAAAACCCTAACCCAATCACACCCGATCCGTTTTCTTCGGACCCGCTCTCCACATTCCTCAGCCACCTCCTGTCACCTTCTGCTTCAAACCGCGTTGTCTTGCAAAACCAGGGTGGCGACATGGCCCGAGAATATCTCTTCGGGTTTGACCACGATGACCGACAGTCAACAATCAGGTCGGACGTTTTTGACCCGTTTGCATATCTGATGAACCTTCTGGCATCTCAACGGGCCACTGGGGTTAACTATCAGTTCGTGGTGGGTAACCAACCTTCAGGGTTTTCGCTGCCAGCTGACATGGGAGATTATTTTATGGGGCCAGGCTTTGAGCAGCTGATCCAGCAGTTAACGGAAAATGATCCAAACAGACATGGGACCCCTCCAGCCTCCAAGTCGGTAGTTGAGGCCCTGCCCAGCCTTAAAGTAGACGAGACTTTACTGAAATCGGAGCTGGCTCAATGTGCTGTATGTAAGGATGACTTTCAGTTGGGAACAGAGGTGAAGCAGATGCCCTGCAAGCATGTCTACCACAATGACTGCATTCTGCCATGGCTAGAGTTGCATAACTCATGCCCCGTGTGTCGCCATGAGCTTCCAACAGATGATCCAGATTATGAGAACAGGGCCACAGCCTGGGGTACTTCGGGTAATTCCAGTGGAAATGGAGTATCACAGGGAAGTGGTGCTAATAACAGTAATGATAATTCTGCTGGGGATCCTCAGGGACGCAGGATAGTCGAGAGGAGGTTTACCATAACATTGCCAGGGCCGTTGGGAGGGTTCGGATCAGGATCGGGATCTGGGCTGAGTGGTGGGGCTTCAGAACTAAACCGAGAGCCTAATTAAATGCAGTTCAGGTATACATTTTTCATACGCATCGACTCATATACTAATGCACTACCTGTTTTTTCGATTGTCTTGCCTTATTTTTTTGTTGCAAATTCAAGCGTGCCATTACTTGGTATCTCTTAACGATGAATGCATTCTTTAGGGTCATCAGGGCTGTGATGTGTAATTGTGTATATTGGGTACTGGGTTCGGGGAGAATTTTAAATGATGGATTAGATCCTAGGATAAGTTTTTATTTTCATTTTTCTTCTTTCTAGTTATTGCTTGTTTTACATTTGGAAAGCGTTCCTTCTTCAGCCCATATTTACATTTCTCAAAAGACTTAAATTGGTATGCTCGAGAAATAGGCCAATTCGGCGGCTCATGGAGTCAAATTGTCATCAGTACATGTCAAGGTTTCATGTTACGTCAATTCGAGCTTGCTCGATCCATTCACTTGCGACCTTATAATGCAATTGCAATTGAATGTTGTTTTTGTTTCCGTATTCCTGATTTAAGAAAATTATTTTCATGGGCCCCATCCATGTCTGATGTCTGGAACTTATATTATCTATTTTGCATATTCAGTGATTTATAGTGCCTGCATCTGCATGTGAGGGAGACAGTGAAAGATGGAAAGAGCATGGGAGATTACAAATTATTGATCTATATGTAATATTATGTGGTTTTGTTTGAAACTTTTTGTATTTTAGAATAAGAAGTTGTATTGGCATCTGAAGTATGATCCTAAAGAACATCAAGTTTGGTTATTGAAGCTATCTCAAATGGTATAGATTTGAATCGACACCGTTGAAGTTGTCTATTTGTTACTAGGTTTTAGTGATTTTACATTATATACTAGGATAAAAACTTAGGTG